GACCACACAGACAAAATGGTTGGATGACAGCACTATGGAGAACTAGTCTTGGTGGATCACAGACTGAATATGAGTCTTCAGTGTGATACCGTTGCACAAAAGGTGAATTTGGAATGCATAAATAGGAGTATTAAGTGCAAGATACAGGTAGTGCTAGTGCCTCATTACTTGGCACTGCTTAGGCCTCATCTAGAGTATAACAGGTAGTTTTAAACTTCACCTTTTAAAAAAGGACATGGAGAAATTAGAGAGGGTCCATAGGTAGGTAGCAAAAATGAAAAAGAGTTTGGAAAGCAAGTCAAATGAGTTGAAAATGTACCTAAGAGGAGACATGATCTTCAAACACCTGACGGGCTGTCATAAAGGAGGAAAACATCTGTTTCTCTCTTGCAGCAGAGAGTAGGACATGGACCAATAACTTGAAGTTGCAGCAAAACAGGATATCAGGAACAGTGAGGCAGTAGAATAGACTGCCTAGGGAAGTTGTGGAATGTCCAGTATTGGAGGTGTTCAAGCAGAGGTCACATAAGCACTGGTTAGGGAAACTTAGCAGCAGCTATGCCTATGCTCTACTATGAGTATTTCCCATGTTTCTGGGTTTTGCTGGTTGACACATGGGGCCAGGAAACTTCACCCCCTTCTGCCCTCCTACTGTTGTTGTGTTTCAGACTCGTTTTTCCCCACCTTCCTCAGAAGCATTGGGTGTTGACTGCAGCCAAGGCTGGAAAATTTGACCGTGGACTGCCAATATGTCTGCTGGAATTAAATCCTACAGGTTTCTGGCTCGAGGGTCCTGCCCATCCCCTCAAGATCTGGCAGATCACCACACTTGGGGTCAGGAAGGAATTTTACCCCATGGTCAGATTGGACTGTGGTGGTTTTTGGCCTTCCTCTGTAGTGTAGGACATGACCTTCATTGGATTTCTCCGGCATAAACAAACCCTTCTAGCAACATGACTACATGACTGCCATTGTCCTCCCACTTTACCTGTGGCAGATGAGGGTCCTATGCTTTGTGGCAGACTGTGTAGTTTTAGTAACAGGTTAGACAAGGATCTGTCTGGAAATGTTTGGAAAGGGATGATATTGCCTCAGGCAGGGAGTTAAAGTAAATGACCTCCAGAGATCCATTCCAACCTACCCTATGATTCTCTGAACTGGAATTCTAATCTGTAATTGATCGTTAAAGACTGTAATATAAAAAATGTGAAAAGTTAAAAGATCCTTATGACAAGTTCCATAACACTTAGAAAAATAAAGTGACTTTCTTGAGACCACTTTTACAGATTTGTCATAAGTGAGACCAGGATCAGGTTCTCATGTTATAATTATATGCCCACTACTGTGTGTAGTCCTCTGATACTGATGCTCACATATAAAAAGGGGTGAGGTAATTAGGACTACCATACAAAAACATTCTTTGGGAAAAGGAAATATCTGAATTTTGGTACAAAACAGTACCTCTAAATTGCAAGACAATGATTAAGTGTTGTCATTTAAACATCCTTCATTATTTTATATTTCTTAGTAAACCTACTAAACATTTCAAATGAACAAACACCTAGCATAAGCATATTTCCTTATGCTTGCATCTGTGATTATCGTTATTTATTACTCCACAATATCTCAGCAATGGGCGGGATAGAATTATGAGATCTGATAGTCTGTTCTGCCTATTTCATTTTCACCTGGAGCAGACATCATCTATAGGAACCATCAATGAGAGTATCATTTTTAAATAGCCCAGCTGATATTAACAACTGTGACTCCTGATTTGGGGGAAACAGGAAAAATCTTTTTAATCATGACAGAAGAATACCCAGCTTGATGGAAGAATCAATTGCTCTCTAAAAATATTAAAAATACTGAGGTAACTCTGGGCCAAATCTTTTTCTGGTGTGACCTGACAGCTTCACTAACTAAAAAAAGAGTAGTAATGATTTACAATTAGAATCACTTGGGCTCCTGCAACACATTACATGTGCAATTAATGAGATAACTGTGCAATAAATTTAGACCAGCCACACATGCAAAGTGATTATCTGCCATAAAAATGCCTATCCAACTATAAAAAGCCAACCAGCTATACAGTTAGTGCTTGAACATGTGTAACAACTCTATATCTGGTTTCTAACCAGCTTTAATTTGAACGAGTGCTAGGGCCCTTACACATCTAGCAACACAACTGCTAGCACCATGACTGAAAGGGACTTAGGGGTCTTGACTCACCACAAGGTGAATATGAGCCACCAATGAGATGCTGTGGTTGGCAAAGCAAACCAAACTCTGGTGTGCATCCACCAATGCATCGCAACCAAAACCAGGGAAATCATCCTCCCGCTTTCCTTGGCACTAGTGAGACTGCAGCTGGAGTACTACATCCAGTATTCAGCCCCCCACTTCTGAAGGATGTGGATAAGCTTGAGAGAGTCCAGAGGAGAGGCACTCATATGATCCAAGGCCTGGAGGGAAGGCCGTAAGAGGAGAGGCTGAGGGTCTTGAGGCTTTTCAGTCTGGAGAAGAGAAGGCTCAGAGGGAGACTTGGTGGCAGCCTACAACTACATAAGAGGGGTGCGTCAGGACCTGGGAGAACAGCTGTTCACCAGAGCTCCCCAAGGGATTACAAGGTCTAATGCCCATAAACTCCAGGAAGGCTGATTTAGATTAGACATAAGAAAAAAGTTCTTTACGGTGCGAGTGTCCAGGGTCTGGAACAGACTCCCTGCAGAGGTGGTGCAAGCACCTACTCTGGACTCTTTCAGAAAACAGGTGGATGTATTTCTTGCTGAGGTCACTTGATCCCAGCTGACTTCCTGCCTATGGCAGGAGGGCTGGACTCGATGTTCTCATGAGGTCCCTTCCAGCCCCTAATGTCTATGAAATCTATAAAATCCAGGAGATGGAACAGGATCTGAGTCATAGATGTCTGAGAGATGAAACACAACTTAAGCCATAGTCTGCAGATCATGACAGAGCAGGTAACAAACTATCACTATTCACTATTTATTTCAATATCCACTTGAAAAGCACAAACATGCAACTAAGAAAGCAAAGTTAATTAATCAATTCATTGTCTTGTATTTTCTATGCCCATCCATAAGTATTACTCTGAAGAGGACACTATTCTATTTCCCTTTGTACACCATTTCTCTAGCTACATATCTGGCCATTTTTGGCTCTTCTTCTGCAGTGTAGATGCATAAGTGTGCATGTGTATGTGTAGATCAATCTACACATACACCTTGCACATCCACAGTGGCCGGATAACAAAATCTGAAATTGTATGCAACTGAAAAATGCCACCTAGGCATCTAGAAAGCTGCCATTTAGGTGTACAAAGGGAAGTAGACTTCTACCCCAAATGATTGAAACACTGCTAAAATGTGATTTGAGTCACTTGACTAACCGTAGATTCTTACAGGTGAGATACCATTTTGTATGTCTGATTATACCAGCATTTAGAAAAGCCATTCACCGCATAGCAGTTAACAGTATAGGTTTTCTCACCTAGAGGCAATTCAGTTCACTTACCAGATTATTCCTGGACATCCCTTTAACATTTCTTTATACTACCATGTAAATTACAATTAACATTTTTGTTGTAGATTTAATACAATTTTTACTCAAAATATTTCAAATGTGACATCTATGTAAGATACTTTATTAAACCCTTCATGATGAGGAAAAATTCAAATCTAGAAAAGTATAGCTTCTATATACACATTCTAAGATAAACTTTTCTGAAATATCTGGCTGAGTCTGAATCAGATCACTGAGGAACCACTTGATTTAAAAGGTATACCAAGCAACTATTCAAACAAAGTATTTCTACATTACATGTGAAGAAAGAAGTGATGTCCCTTTTTAACAACATAAAGAGAGACCTTTGGGGAGAATCAAGAAGATAAGTATGGCTGATACACACAGAGAGATTTTAAACACATCAAAATCAAATACATGTTAAAAAAAAACAATGTCAAGACATGAAAGGCAATACAAGACGAAGTCATTGACATTAGGACTAGAAAAAACTTCCACAGACAACTCCAAAGTTACAAAACACATGAGACAGCCAAAAATTGTTAGTTCCTCTTAAACACTGAGAAAACACTGAGTTGACCTGGATGCCATTGAAAAATAATTGTGGTAACAATGAGAAAAGCAGCACCTTGCCACAGCCCTTCCAGATTATTCCATCTCAATGGCTTTAATATTAAATTATTTCTTCTTTTGTGTTACTTTTTAAGTGCACAGAAAAGGCACACATTATAATATTTATCACTGCTTAGTGTAACCATAAAAAATAACAGCAAACTGAATAAACCGGGTGGTAACATTTTTTCTTGGTTTCAGAGCAAATTCTTCAATTAAAGAAAGAAGATTTTTAGGTGACCACTCATTTCGCCCAAAATAATACCCTATTTTTTAAAACATATTAACCATTTTTAAACATTTCATTTTGGCAGATCCTTAGTATTTTATTAAACGTAATGGACTTTTGGGAATCCTAATTCTAATGATCTTTGATTTTTTGCAGAACTAATTTTTTTGTAAGTATTTGGTTCCATTCACTGAAATTACTGCACATACTAAAAATATGATAAAGTAACAAGCAAATGAGAACAGCTATCACAAGGTGTAGAAACCACATGCCCTTCTAGAGTTCTAAAAAAAAAAAAAAAAAA